GGCGGCGTATAAATTGGCACAGTTAGATGCCATATATAAAAATACATTGGTTAAAGCAACAAAAAAAATCACATCACAATACATTTAAAAACTAATAAACAATAAAAATTATAAAAACTATGTCTTCTTGTTCAAATCCTCAACCGTTCCATCATCTTAGCCGTTCTTAGTTCATATTCCAGTTTGAGTTTATCTGGTCATGCTGAAGTTCCAAACGCTTGCTCAAAGAGCCAGGTTTTCACTCTTTTTCGAAAGGTCAGGAGGGAGGGGGGCAATCTAATATCCCTAGGCAGGGAGTTCCACAGCCGAGGGACCACCGCAGAGAAGGTCCTGTCTCTTGTCCTTGCCAGATGTGCCTGTGAAGCAGGTGGGATCGAGAGCAGGGCCTCCTCAGACGATCTGAACTTTATGGAAGGTTCATAGGGAGAGATGCATTTGGATAATGCATTGTCTGGGGATGTCATTGTCTGGAGATGTCATTGTCTGGGGACTCCCTGAGATGTCCGAGGTGGCTGGAGTCTTCCTTGTGGCAGGAAAAACAGAGAGCTGCTATTTGTCCATTTCTCCAGCAAAGGATCACCACCTTGTCGGGGCGCTGGAGCTTGAGCACCTCAATGATGTCATGAGCGAAACCGTGAAGGGACACCCAAGACGGGACGGTTGTGGCAGAGAGGTCAGACCAAGCGTGATCCCTGGGGAAGGCAACGGCAAACCACCCCAGTATCCTTGCCAAGAAAACTAAATGGACCAGTACAACCAGAGATATGTCGGTATGCCATTGGAAGATGGGACTCCCAGGTCGGAAGATGGCCAAAATGCTACTGGGGAGGAGCAGAGGAGAAGTTCAACTAGCCCCAGATGTGATGACGCAGCTAGCTCAAAGCCGAAAGGAAGGCTAGCGGCCGACGTGTATTTCTAGGTGCAAAGATTGCTGCAGATGCAGACTGTGGCCAGGAAATCAGAAGACGCTTCCTTCTTGGGAGGAGAGCAAGGACCAATCTCGATAAAATAGTGAAGAGTAGAGACATCAGACTGGCAACCAAGATCCATTGCCTAGTCCAAGCCATGGTCTTCCCTGTAGTCACCTACGGATGTGAGAGCTGGACCTTAGGGAAGGCTGAGCCAAGGAAGAGAGATGCTTTTGAGCTGTGGTGTTGGAGGAAAGTGCTGAGAGTGCCTTGGACTGCGAGAAGATCCAACCAGTCCATCCTCCAGGAAATAAAGCCCGGCTGCTCACTGGAGGGAAGGAGACTAGAGGGAAAGTTGAAGTACTTTGGCCACATCATGAGGAGACAGCAAAGCCTAGAGAAGACAATGCTGGGGAAAGTGGAAGGCAAAAGGAAGAGGGGCCGACCAAGGGCAAGATGGATGGATGGCATCCTTGAAGTGACTGGACTGACCTTGAAGGAGCTGGGGGTGGGGACGGCCGACAGGGAGCTCTGGCGTGGGCTGGTCCATGAGGTCACGAAGAGTCGGAGACGACTGAACGAATGAACAAATTTCCCCATTTGAAGCTGGAGCCATTTGGAAGATCCTCCCAGGGAAAACTTGGGAAATGGTCTGAAATAGCCTGGGATGGGCTTATGGGATTTACAATAGGTGCCAGCCCCAGAGACAAAAGACAAAGCTTACGTAAATGTACACACTGAATAGGAAACATATAACACAAGACAGATTTCATTCTTGGAACCTGGCCTTAATTACATCTCTAAAGGGCTTGCTTCCCTGAGGGGATTATCTCCCACCCGGATATTGAGCTGGCTTTCGGGATGTTCACAAACCCCCTCCCCAACATTGTCACAAGCTCATATTTTATATCAGGTTTCTTTGGGTGCCTAAGACTATGTTTATGGTCTATGTTTTAATATTCTTGTCATGGTTTTATATTATGTGTAAATGTTTATAAATGTTTTATGGTGTTTTTGGAAATTGAATCATTGCCATTGTAAACTGCCCTGAGTTGCCTGAGGGCTGAGAAGGGAAGTATACAAATACAGTAAATAAATAATAAAAAAATATGGTTGCACCCCAGTTTTTATGTATGAATATTTGAGACTGCTTCCTTCTGTTTATTACTTGGCCACGCTCTGGTTACATCCTATCTAGACTACTGCAATGCTCTCTACGTGGGGTTGCCTCTGAAGACTGCCCGGAAGCTTCAATTAGTCCAACGAGCGGCAGCCAGATTGCTAACAGGAGCGGGGTACAGAGATCATACGACCCCTCTGTTACGCCAGCTCCACTGGCTGCCGATTAGCTTCCGAGCACAATTCAAAGTGCTGGTTTTGACCTATAAAGCCCTAAACGACTCCGGCCCAGTCTACCTGTCCGAACGGATTCTCCCCTATGAACCATCAAGGTTATTAAGATCTTCCGGAGGGGCCCTGCTCTCGGTCCCACCTCCTTCGCAATCGCGTCTGGTGGGAACGAGGGACAGGGCCTTCTCGGTGGTGGCTCCCCGGCTTTGGAACTCCCTCCCACTAGAGATTAGATCTGCTCCCTCCCTCCTGACTTTCAGGAAACTAATAAAGACCTGGCTGTGGAATGTGGCTTTTAAGGACTGATCTCATAACCTTCGTCCACATGGAAGGAGGAGGATGAACTGTGACTATGACTGTGATTGTATGACGATTTGGCTTGGGTAATGAGATTATGATGTTTTTACTGTACGATTTTAATCTGTAATGTTGATGTACTTTGTTTTTGTATATTATTGTAATTTGCATATATGCTGTAAACCGGCCTGAGTCCCTCGTAGAGGTGAGAAGACCGGTATAGAAAACGTCTAAATAAATAAATAAATAAATAAAGTGTTGTGACTCAGCTGGATTCACAGAGTGTCTCTGATGAGGATGATGGGACTCAGGTTCACAGTCTGGTTCAAAATGTCCCTGTTATAGACGTCCCTGTTATAGACAGTGAGGAAGTGCAGTTTCCCACAGCAAGGAATGAGAGTGTTGATTCTGAAAATAGCCAGGTACAGGTAGACTCGGAGAAGGACAGTTCTCAGCCTGATAATGAGCAAGCAGGGAAACAGACTGACCTTGACAAAATGGGAACCTTAGATCGGGCTGACCGTTTGGAATTCCGAGTTCAAAGGAGTGTGAGAATAGCTAACAAGAGGGAGGCCAGGGGCAAAAAAAACCCCGCTTTTATGTTTTGCAAAGGATATTAAGCGGTGTGTTTGAGACCAAACTTTTGTCAAAGCAACTTTCCTGTTGCAACTCAGAGTAGGCTTCACCTTGCTCCCAAACACCACCACACAAGAGCTGTAGATTTTGTAGTTTATTAAGGAAAAATCAAAGTCAAAGCATGAATAAGCAATGTAAGGTTCCAAAGACAAGGGTTAAATGCAAAACACAGTTCCAAAGATCTTCAGGTAAGAACATAAAACATAATCCCTTAAGCAATGGTCAAACAAGAGTCCCTGGTAAAAACAGTGAAACACAAGGCCCAAGAATCCCGATTCAGGAAGCCCAAAGCGTGCTGCTTTAAAGCCAAGGTTATTCCATAGAAGCTTTCATGCAAAAAGCCACGTTGAACTGACACCTTCCCTTTGTTAACCAGAAGCCTAAATACCTTTTGCCAACATGAAAACATTACGCTTTTGCCAACATGAAAGCATTACGGTGACCTTTCACTGACCTGGCTTCTTTCTTGCTGGCTAACCACAAACTCCTCCTGACCTGCCAATCTAAACGTTCTTGCCTGCTCATTAAATCACTATCAAGGCTCTCTTCTCTATCAGTATCAGCGTGAGAAGGCTGAGCAAGTGAAGGCCTCTGCACCTGGTCGTTATCTAATTCGCTGGCATTCTTTTCCCATGAGAACTGACTTGTTGACTCCTCTGGTGCACTGTCTGAAAGAGGCACAGAAAAAGGCATAGGAACAGGCCCAGAAATCTGAATCCCATCATCCTCTTCATCAGGGAACATTTCAGGCTCACAAGAGGGTTCCGTTTCAGGCTCAGAATCAAGCTGAGCCACAACATTTCTGTTCAACTAAGAAGCTTGCCTTTGTTTGTCTGGATTATCTTCTTGTGTTCATGGTTTCAGGACTTTGTCATGTTCTCTTGGGTTTTGCTTTGCTGGTGCCTTTTTGGATTAAACTTCAAGTGCTATGTTATATTGATCTTTTGGAACATTAACCTTTGCTTTTAAGAACTTTTTACCTTTTATTTTTAATAAACTATAAAGACTTCTGGCTGTGTACAGTTTGGTGTTTTCAGCAAGGTGAATCTACTCTGAGGGGCCACAGAAAGCATAAACCTGAATATAGACCAAAAAATGTCAAAGTGTTTTGTCAAGGAAAACCTCTATAAGAGATGTGGGGCCATTGTCGTCTTTGGATCCTCCCAGGAATGTTTGGAGCTGGGCTGGGGCTGGAAACCCAGCTAAGATGTGTAGGAATTTGCTATAAATGGGTAGTTACTAGTTATTATTATTAGAGGGGGGTTAATTCTGTTATTTATTTATTATTAACGCCATTTCTATCTCAAACCCAAAGGTGACTCAAGGCAGCTTACAACCAGCAGCCATTTGATGCGGTAACTATAGACAATGTATAGTTTAAAACACTTAAAATGAATTTATAAAATCATACAATAAAAACATTTAAAACATCTATATGGAGGAATTAATGTAATTCTGGCATCACTTGAACTGCCATTACTTAATGCTACTGAATCCTGGAAGCTGTAGTTTGATAAGGCACCTGCATTCTTTGGCAGTTAGATCTTATAAAGCTATAACTCCCAGGATTCCATAGCATTAAGCCTGCTATGTTCAAGTGGTGCCAAACAGCATTAAATGTGCAGCACAGATGCATGCGAAATGTATCTCAAAAGTATAATTCCTCGGATTCCATAGCACAAAGCAGCAACAGAAGCAGTTCAAGTGGTGCCAAACTGCATTAAGGCTACAGTGTAGATGCCCCTCTGATTAGATCATGGTGCTCAAAACGAAGAAATGCGATTTCCTTTATACCAAATCAATTCCGTTTTATTTTCTTGTCCTTATCATAGAGAGGCCTGACCTCTACAAGATAACGCATTAATGTTCCTGACTGGGTGGCCGCAGCGGGCGTGGAGTCTGACTGGGTGTCTATCAAATACAGTTCACTGTAGAGGTTCCTCAGCTCGGTTTGAGCACTGCGTTCATGGTGAGGGCTGTCGTGGCTGATGTAAAACCTTCGTGTGGTCCAGGGCCGGAGTGTGCGCCACATGGGGCGCCACCTGGGGGTCCTCCACCGACCGTAACTCATCCACGGGGGCAGCCACGGGGTCACCTGGGTCGGCCGGGCCCAGGTCAAGTACCAGTAGGGGGCCCAAGTGACCACTGGTGGGGTCGTGGGCACAATTGTGGTCGTGGCTGTAGTCGTGGTGAGCTGCGCCAACAGCGGTGGTTGAGGTGGGCGTTGGAAGGTCTCCTTGGAATGTTCTTCGATCCAGTCAAGGAAGTACTGGGTGGAGATGAAGATGCTCGGCTTCTTGACCACAGCGCAATCCAAGGATCCCCAGCTCAGCACCCCCAGGACCCAGAAACGCTCAGACCGAGACTCCCGACATTGGACTGGACCCCCGCTGTCGCCCTGCATGGGGGAGAGGTCCATTGAAATCACGTTTATGATATGGCTTCAACACTTACTAGTTTTAGTGATGGCAAAGAGGAATACAATAGGTGTACTGCAACAATTTACCCTCTTCATTCCAAACAAACCCACCACCTCCCATCCATTCCCCCAAAGGGTGCTGTTGTTAGTTGGTGCTATTGTTATATCTGAAGGAATCCCACTGGAGCCTTGCAGCGCACCCAAATACCTGGGAGTCACTCTGGACCGTGCTCTGACCTACAAGAAGCACTGCCTGAACCTCAAGGAAAAAGTGGGCGCTAGAAACAACATCATACGAAAGCTGACTGGCACAACCTGGGGATCACAACCAGACACAGTGAAGACATCTGCCCTTGCGCTATGCTACTCTGCAGCTGAGTATGCATGCCCAGTGTGGAACACATCTCACCACACTAAAACAGTGGATGTGGCTCTGAATGAGACATGCCGCATTATCACGGGGTGTCTGCGCCCTACACCACTGGAGAAATTACACTGCTTAGCCGGTATTGCACCACCTGACATCCGCCGGGAAGTAGCAGCCAATAGTGAAAGGACCAAGGCAGAGACATCTCCAGCTCATCCCTTGTTTGGGTATCAGCCAGCACATCAACGACTTAAATCAAGAAATAGTTTTCTAAGATCTACAGAGACACTCGCTGGAACACCTCAGCAAGCAAGAGTCCAAAAGTGGCAGGCTCAAACCCAGAACCTCAATCAATGGCTGATACCAAATGAGAGACTCCCCCTGGGCACACAGAAGACTGGACTTGGAAGGCGCTGAACAGACTGCGCTCTGGCACCACGAGATGCAGAGCCAACCTTCAGAAATGGGGCCACAAAGTGGAATCCACGACATGCGAGTGGGAGAAGAGCAAACCACTGACCACCTGCTGCAATGCACCCTGAGCCCTGCCACATGCATGATGGAGGACCTTCTTGCGGCAACACCAGAGGCACTCCAAGTGGCCAGATACTGGTCAAAGGACATTTAATCAACTACCAAGCTTGCAAAATTTGTGTTTTATCTGTTTGTTTGTTTGTTTTGTTAAAAATGTAATACAAATGTCTGGTTGCTCCTGACACACACTGAGGATCACCTGGGAAGGAATCCCACTGGAGCATTGCAGCGCACCCAAATACCTGGGAGTCACTCTGGACCGTGCTCTGACCTACAAGAAGCACTGCCTGAACATCAAGCAAATAGTGGGTGCTAGAAACAATATCATACGAAAGCTGACTGGCACAACCTGGGGATCACAACCAGACACAGTGAAGACATCTGCCCTTGCGCTGTGCTATTCTGCTGCTGAGTATGCGTGCCCAGTGTGGAACACATCTCACCACGCTCAAACAGTGGATGTGGCTCTTAATGAGACATGCCGCATTATCACGGGGTGTCTGCACCCTAAACCACTGGAGAAATTACACTGTTTAGCCGGTATTGCACCACCTGACATCCGCCGGGAAGTAGCAACCAATAGTGAAAGGACCAAGGCAGTGACATCTCCAGCTCATCCCCTGTTTGGGTATCAGCCAGCACATCAACGACTTAAATCTAGAAATAGATTTCTAAGATCTACAGAGACTCTCACTGGAACACCTCAGCAAGCGAGAGTCCAAAAGTGGCAGTCTCAAACCCAGAATGTTTGAGGTGGAGTATCCATTGGCCTGTAGAGCCCTATTCAGGGACATCTAATCACCTCTCAACAAAAGATTGCTCCAGGCACTGTCAGGCTATCAAATGCTAATCAAGGTGGTCAGTTGAAACATTCACACCTAGCTCCATCAGACAAGAGTCCTTTGTCCCACCCTGGTCATTCCACAGATATATAAACCCATTTTCCTAGTTCCAACAGACCTCACTACCTCTGAGGATGCTTGCCATAGATGCAGGCGAAACGTCAGGAGAGAATGCCTCTAGAACATGGCCATATAGCCCGAAAAACCTACAACCCAGTTTGTTGTTTGGTATTATATCGCTGGGCCAGGCAGAGAAAACAATATTGATCAGTAGGTTCTTGTGGGTTTTTTCGGGCTATAGAGCCATGTTCTGGAGGCATTTCTCCTGACGTTTCGCCTGCATCTATGGCAAGCATCCTCAGAGGTGTGAGGTCTGTTGGAAGTAGGAAAATGGGTTTATATATCTGTGGAATGGCTGGGGTGGGGCAAGGAGCTCTTCCCTGCTGCAGTTAGGTGTGAATTTTAGCTGATCACCTTCATTAGCATTTGAAGGCCTGCCTGAGCCTGGGAAAATCTGTTGCTGGGAGGTGTTAATCTGTGCCTGGTTTTTCCTCTCTGTTGTTTAGCTGTTATAATTTTTGAGTTTTTTAATACTGGTAGCTAGATTTTGTTCATTTTCATGGTCTCTTCCTTTCTGTTGAAATTGTCCACATGCTTGTGGATTTCAATGGCTTCTCTGTGTAGTCTGACATGGTGGTTGTTGGTGTGGTCCAGCATTTCTGTGTTCTCAAATAATATGCTGTGTCCAGGCTGGTTCATCAGGTGCTCTGCTATGGCTGACTTCTCTGGTTGAAGTAGTCTGCAATGCCTTTCATGTTCCTTGATGCGTGTCTGGGCGCTGCGTTTGGTGGTCCCTATGTAGACTTGTCCACAGCTGCATGGTATACGGTAGACTCCTGCAGAGGTGAGAGGATCCCTCTTGTCCTTTGCTGAACGTAGCATTTGTTGGATTTTCTTGGGGTTTGTAGATTGTTTGTATGTTGTGTTTCCTCATCAGCTTCCCTATGCGATCAGTGGTTCCCTTGATGTATGGCAGGAACACTTTTCCTCTGGGTGGATCTTCATCTTTACTCTCGTGGCTTGTTCTTGGTCTTGCAGCTCTTCTGATGTCTGAGGTGGAGTATCCATTGGCCTGGAGAGCCCAGCTGAGGTGGTTCAGTTCATCTTGGAGGAGGTGGGGTTCGCAGATTCTTTTTGCACGGTCTGCCAAGGCTTTAATGGTGCTTCTTTTTTGTCTTGGGTGTTGTTGTTCTTGTTCTTGTTCTTGTTGTTGGTATTATTATTATTATTATTATTATAGCAGGTCAAGAGGTGTCAAACTCCATTAATTCTACAATGTCTATGATCCCAGTATCTAACCGATTTGCAATTCCCATGATCCCATAGTTGGCCGATAAAGTGGTGCCAAACTGCATTCATTCAACAGTGTAGAAGCATCTATAGCAGGCATGGGCCAACTATCGGCTGTTAGGAATTGTGGGAGTTGAAGTCCAAAATACCTGGAGGGCCAAAGTTTGCCCAGGCCTCACCTATAGTGACCTGTCTTTCCTTTCTTCCCACCTCTTTCCCTCTTTCTGTCTTTTCTCTTGTTGCGGAACATACGTTACCCAAGATCAATTAGAGCACAATCAGAGAGGAAGGAAACGGAGACAGCAGTTGATTTCAGGCGTTTACTATCAAGCTTGATAGGGCGTTCAGAAAGCAATATCTGACACAAGTTGGAAGTCAGACTTGCTTCAATATTTATAGCAGAAAACCACTGGTTCATACATGCGCAGAAATGTCCTGACATTTACACAGTACAATCATTAACAGTTGTCCTTCATGTATAGTTGCCAAGAACACTCTTTTGGCAAGGTCATGATGACAAACATTTGCCCACTTTATATAATTATTAACTTTCTACCCCTTATTTCCAGATGACATGTTCAATTGGTCTTAATTTCCTTGATCTCTTAATGATTTATAGTTTTATATATTTATAACATAAGACTTGATTAAGGCAATCTCCTTTTAGTTAAATTCAGCCTCAATTATTTAGTTGTTAATATGAAACAACTATAACCCACGTCGGGATCACCATTTATTTAAAATAAAAAAAATCTGAAATTGCCTGCTATTTACATTAAATAGTCAGGAGATGGCGCTCTCTCACTATATGACCTTAGATGTTTCAGTCTTGGATCAATAATATTGATTTTCTATATTTATTTATTTATTTATTTATTTATTTACTATTCTTGTATACCGCTGTATCTCAAGCCCGAGGGCGACTCACAGCGGTTTCCAAACAGCAAGGACAATAAAAACAGCAATAATTAATATACAATGACAGTTAAATTACACATTTCCATTAATAACTAATAAGCAATCATCAATACACAGGTATCACAATCCCATCCCCGATCGCCTCATCATCCAAGCGTGATCCAAATTCGTCGTCCATTGTTCCGTTCCTATGTTCAAATTACCAAATTGCACTGAATTACTCAAACGCCTGCACAAACATCCAGGTCTTCAACTTTCTACGGAATGTCATGAGAGATGGTGCCAGCCTAACGTCTACAGGAAGGGCGTTCCACAGCCGAGGAGCCACCACCGAGAAGGCCCTATCTCTCGTCCCCGCCAACCGTGCTTGAGAGGCTGGCGGGATCGAGAGCAGGGCCTCCCCGGAAGATCTCAAAGTCCGGGTGGGTTCATAGGCCGAGATGCGGTCAGATAGGTATCTTGGGCCGGAACCGTTTAGGGCTTTATAGGCCAATACCAACACCTTGAATTGGGCCCGGTAGCAAATCGGCAGCCAGTGGAGCTGGTGCAACAGGGGGGTTGTGTGCTCCCTGCGCTCCGCTCCTGTTAGAATCATGGCTGCCGCGCGTTGGACTAATTGCAGCTTCCGGGCCGTCTTCAGGGGCAGCCCCACGTAGAGAGCGTTGCAGTAGTCTAGGCGGGATGTGACAAGAGCGTGGACTACCGTGGCCAAGTCAGACTTCCCAAGGTACGGGCGCAGCTGGCGCACGAGCCTGAGCTGTGCAAATGCTCCCCTGGTCACCGCCGAGACCTGGGGCTCCAGGCTCAGCGACGAATCCAGGGTCACACCCAAGCTGCGAACCTGTGTCTTCAGGTTACTGGTCAATGTCCAGCTTAAAGATAAACATTTCGGCTTGTTCAAATATTTGTTTTTTTAGAACAAGTCATTCGAACCTCTTTATTGATTTATACCATCTGCTGATTTTCTCCCTTACTTTGCAAAATCTCCTTTTAAGCGTCAGAACTAAGGTAAGACTTTTCTGTTCATTTTAAATTATGATTATTGTATTTTTCTCCTAATGGCTGCCACACTCTCTCTTCTTGGCCCACCATTTCTTTCCAAACAGTGGCCCAGTCTCACCTGGCAGAAGTCAACGGATCCGCTTTCTGTCCCGGCACAGAGGTTCATGGGAGGCAGGATCCGGTTCCACCACTGTGAACAGTTCCAACGGGGAATGAGGTCCACTTTCCCTTCTTGCAGGATGTCGGGGTAGATTTGCTCTGAGGATAGAAAAGACAATCTGGCTACAGTGGCTGCCGCAAGCATTACAAAAGACTGTACTTGGGGCAATTCATGGAATCAGCAAAATACACTGTCACGAAAATATCATTGCAGATTTGATAAATGTGGATTTAATTTGATGTGTGGGAATGAATGGAAGGATGGAAGATGGCCCATGAGGTCTCTTCCAACTCTTTGATTCTATGATTCTAAGATGAATGCATGGATGGAGCTAATAATTTTGGGCCGGAACCGTTTAGGGCTTTGTAGGATAACACCAGCACCTTAAATTGCTTGCTTGCTGGACTGTAATTAAAAGTTGCTAATGAGAAATGAAGAGTAAACTGATAAGATTTGGGATAGTGATAACAGAAAGGTTTACAATGTTAAGAAGGAAGTCAACATAAGATCAACACCAATCAAGAAGATCAACATCTGCCCAGGAAACTGAGATGGAGCCAAGATGGAAGATGTTTATCATTCATTTACAACTTTGGGACAACATAGAATCATAGAATCATAGATTCAAAGAGTTGGAAGAGACCTCCTGGGCCACCCAGTCCAACCCCATTCTGCCAAGAAGCAGGAATATTGCATTCAAATCACCCCCGACAGATGGCCATCCAGCCTCTGTTTAAAGCTTCCAAAGAAGGAGCCTCCACCACACTCCAGGGCAGAGAGTTCCACTGCTGAACGGCTCTCACAGTCAGGAAGTTCTTCCTCATGTTCAGATGGAATCTCCTCTCTTGTAGTTTGAAGCCATTGTTCCATGGCGTCCTAGTCTCCAGGGAAGCAGAAAACAAGCTTGCTCCCTCCTCCCTGTGGCTTCCTCTCACATATTTATACATGGCTATCATGTCTCCTCTCAGCCTTCTCTTCTTCAGGCTAAACATGCCCAGCTCCTTAAGCCGCTCCTCATAGGGCTTTTCTCCAGACCCTTGATCATTTTAGTCGCCCTCCTCTGGACACATTCCAGCTTGTCAATATCTCTCTTGAATTGTGGTGCCCAGAATTGGACACAATATTCCAGGTAAAGTGGTCTAACCAAAGCAGAATAGAGCATGGGGAGCATGACTTCACTAAATCTAGACACTAGGCTCCTCTTGATGCAGGCCAAAATCCCATTGGCTTTTTTGCCACCACATCACATTGTTGACTCATGTTTAACTTGTTGTCCACGAGGACTCCAAGACCTTTTCCACATGTCCTGCTCTCAAGCCAGGCCTCATCGCCCCCCATTCTGTCTCTTTGCCTTTCGTTTTTAATGCCTATATGGAGCCTCTTGCATTTGTCCAGTTTCAGAATGCAGATTAACTACATTGAACTGGATTGTATGGAAGTGTAGGTCCAGCCCGAGTTTTGGACGCCACTTTCCAGAAATCTAAACCATCAAGTCTGATTGGCAGGGATTTTTAGGTGACTTGAGTCCAAAACTATCTGGAGGGACAAAGGTTAAAACCCCAAGCTGGGAACATCATAGTGACATTTTTGAATACAATCTTATATTTATTGCAAACTCATAGTAGTAGTCTTCTTCACAGGAGCAGGATTCAGAACGATCTTGACAGATTAGAGAGATGGGCCAAAACAAACAAAATGAAGTTCAACAGTTACAAATGCAAGATACTCCACTTTGGCAGGAAAAAGGAAATGCAAAGATGCAAAAATGGGGAACGATGCCTGGCTCGAGAGCAGTAAGTGCAGAAAGGATCTCGGAGTCCTCGTGGACAGGAAGTTAAACATGAGCCAGGAATGTGATGTGGCGGCAAAAAAAGCCAATGGGATTTTGGCCGGCATCAAGAGGAGCATAGTGTCTAGATCCAGGGAAGTCCTGCTCCCCATGCTCTATTCCGCCTTGGTTAGACCACACCTGGAATATTGTGTCCAATTCTGGGCACCACAATTCAAGAGAGATATTGACAAGCTGGAATGTGTCCAGAGGAAGAGGGCGACTCAAATGATCAAGGGACTGGCGAACAAGCCCTATGAGGAGTGGCTTAAGGAGTTGGGCATGTTTGCCTGAAGAAGAGAAGGCTGAGGAGACAGGATGAGGACCATGTATAAATATGTGAGAGGAAGCCACAGGGAGGAGGAGGGAGGGAGCTTCCTTTCTGCTTCCCTGGAGACTAGGACGCAAGGGAACAATGGCTTCAAACTACAAGAGATTCCATCTGAACATTAGGAAGAACTTCCTGACTGTGAGAGCCGTTCAGCAGTGGAACTCTCTGCCCCGGAGGGAGTGTGGTGGAGGCTCCTTCTTTGGAAGCTTTTAAACAGAGGCTGGGTGGCCATCTGTCAGGGGTGATTTGAATGCAATATTCCTGCTTCTTGGCAGAATGGGGTTGGGCTGGATGATGGCCCAGGAGGTCTCTTCCAACTCTTTGATTCTATGATTCTATGATTCTTAATTTGGTCCAAAATTCATCTTCACTGACTGACCGTATCCTCTACATCATAGAGGCAGAAACTGGAACTGGAAATCATAGAATCACAGACTTGGAATTAAAACCCTGAAGGCCACCCAGTCCAACTCCCTCCCATGTAGAAAAACATAATCCAAGCCCTCCTGACATATAGTCATCCAGCCTCCAGAGAAGGAGACTCCACCAGACCCTGAGGCAAGGATATTCCACTGATGAACAGCTCTTACCACCAAGAAGTTTAGGTGGAATCCCGTTCTCATCTTAGGAGAAAGACGCTACAAATGTCGGGCCCGGCCCCATTTTCCCAGGACTCACTTTTCTGGTCGGTCCTGCCCCATCCGCTGAGGTAGCAATGCGTGAGGTCCGTGACGGCCATGCTGTTGTCCGGCAAACAGGCTGGCTGGATGTAGTCGCTGCAGTTGACCGGTTTGGACATCTCCACCAAGGCGATGTCATTGAAGATGGTCCCACCGGTGTTGAGGGTGCTCCGGAAGTCTTCGTGCTTGACCAACGTCTTGATGAAACGCTCCCGGGAATCGGGGCCCGGCAGGTTGACCCGGTTGCAGCCGAGGAGGAGCTTATACTGGTCTCTGAGTTGGGAGCAGAGAAGAGGGATGGTTGGCAATTCATTTGGCATGCAGTCACTGTTTAGGGATTGATTTGCCACCTCCAGTTATGGTTGTAGAACAGGCATGGGCCAACTTGGGCCCTCCAGGTGTTTTGGACTTCAACTCCCACAATTCCTAACAGCCTAATGGCAGTTGAAGTCCAAAACACCTGGAAGGCCCAAGTTGGCCCTTGCGTGGTATAGAAGCATAAAGTGGGAAAGGAGCCCCAAAGCCATCCAATCCAACCTACTTCTTCTAGAATTATAGAGTTGGAAAAGACCTCCAGAAGCAATCCAGTCCAATGTATTGTCGAAGTCTTTCATGGCCGGAATCACTGGGTTGTTGTAGGTTTTTTCGGGCTATATGGCCATGGTCTAGACCAGTGGTTCTCAACCTGGGGTCCCCAGATGTTTTTGGCCTACAACTCCCAGAAATCCTAGCCAGTTTATCAGCTGTTAGGATTTCTGGGAGTTGAAGGCCAAAAACATCTGGGGACCCCAAATTGAGAACCACTGGTCTAGAAGCATTCTAGACCATGGCCATATAGCCCGAAAAAACCTACAACAACCCATGCCTCTAGACCGTGGCCATATAGCCCAAAAAACCCTACAACAACCCAATCCAGTCCAACCTCCTTGTTCTAGGCAGGAAAACACAACCTGAGCTCTCCCAATAGACAGACCTCCAGAGAAGGTGTCCTACAAATTCCAAGGAAGCTGCATATCCCAACCTCAAGCCCCTGGGTGTGGGCATTTTGCCCCCCCCCCCCACTTGCTTACTTTGGCTTCCCGAAGCAGTGGGCAGCAGAGAGGACCCAGCGAGCGCTGATGAGTGTTCCGCCGCAAATGTGCAGGTAGTAGCCTCCCCGCATGAGGGCCTGGATGCTGACCTGCCAGGGCCAGGTGCCGGGGAGGGCGTTGGTGCCACCGATCAGACGCGACATCTCCTGGCTGGCCGCCAGCGGGCGCCTTCCGCAGGTCCCACTGAGGAAGGAAAACAGGGGAAAGCATGTGGGATTGTGGCTGTTAAGTGACCTCAAGTGAACTATGGACATCATCACATGGGATACGTAAAGTGCTTTGGATAGTTGCTTTTCCCTTAAGCTTTACAAAGACCCATTTGGAAATTAAACTGATGATTTCCCTACCCCATCACTCCCATCTCCTTTTCTGCCTTTTTTAGAATTTAGCTGTTTCATTTGCCATCACATAGTTTCCTCCCCCTGTCTTTTCTTCTGTCTTTGTAATATCAGGAGTTCAACAAACAACATACACAGAGGGATTATTCTTACATTGCAGAATGGGAGGGAGGGGAGGCGGAATGAAGTTTTAGCTCTCTTATGTCTCTCTCTCTGGTTGTACTGGTCCATTTAGTTTTCTTGGCAAGAATATTGGGGTGGTTTGTCATTGCCTTCCCCAGGGATCACGCTTGGTCTGACCTCTCTGCCACGACCGTCCCATCTTGGGTGGTCCTTCATGGTTTTGCTCATGACATCATTGAGGTGCTCAAGCTCCAGCACCACAACAAGGCAGCAATCCACACCATGAGAAGAAAGGAAAATTTAGAGAAGACAATTATGCTGGGGAAAATGGAAGGAAAAAGGAAGAGTGGGCGACCAAGGGCAAGGTGGATGGGTGGGATCCTTGAAGTGGCTGGATTGACCTTGAAGGAGCTGGGGGTGGTGACAGCCGACAGGGAGCTCTGACGTGGGCTGGTCCATGAGGTCACAAAGAGCCGGAAACAACTGAACGAATGAACAACAACAACAATGTCTCTCTCTGCTAGCCTTTTGATAGGCAAAACAAAAGCCTGACATCACAGCAGGAGTTTCAGAGAGGCAATGAAGTTAGGAGTTCACAAGGATTTTTGTGAGAAGAGAGATCATGAAGATGGGGGAATGTTGAAAGAATGCAGAGAGAAGCACAGGTGCTTTCTCCTGAATGTTTTGAATATCTTTATGTTTGCTATACCTCCTCAGTTCTAGTGGGAGACGAAAGGAATCAATACTGCCTATCTTGACTCCTCCCTCCATGACAACGATCATTTATTTACCAGCAAAGAAAACTCAAGGCCTTGTAAAAATACAACTCCCAGGCTCAATGGTGTGGGATCCTGGGAGCTGCAGTTTGGGAAAGCACCAGCACCCTTTGGCAAGGAAGGCTAAAGGAGATTATACAAATACAACTTCTATGATTCAATATATAATGTTTGTATATTTTAAATTGTATTGAAATGCTTTTCACATAAGCCTCTTTGAGTCTCCTTGTGGAGGGTACAAATAAACAACAACAACAACAATAATAACATTGAGCCCTAGCAGTTAAAGTGGTGTCGATCTGCATTAACGCAGATGCACCCGTAGTTCCCAGAAGTCATCTTAACTGTATACAAACTCCTTTGTGTTCTTTCTGGATTCTTACATGATGCACTAATTCCCAGGTAATACTAGTTTTGGATTGCAGCTCCCAGAATCCCCAGCTGGCATGAGCTATGGGCAACCTCATAGCAAAGTCTACGAGTGGGTTAAATGGTTATATGTTTGCACAGGAATAGAAGCCACATCTAGAGATTGGGCCTTAAGGAGAAGGCCACTGGCCACACCACAATCCTTTTTGTGCAAGGAATGGGGTTCAATCCCTTCCTTATGGTTTTGGTCTCGGAGTCACCTGGTGCCACTTACTCGCAGTTGCTGACGTCGGTCTTCACCGGCTGGAAAATGGCAAGCAGCAGCATCTGAAGGAAGGCCCATTGCATCCTCCTTCTGGTTCTAGATGACCCTTCCACCATACTTTTCCCTGGAATTCCTGACATCACAAAATGTGTTCAGGTTCTATCCACCCAGCTCTGGATTGCTCTGACATCACACACCAGCTCTCTTTCTTTTGGAATGGCAAAGCAATATTGTTATCGAGCAGCACTACCGCCATCTCTAATAAAAAGGGATTTACAGTTTTCCAAGGGCAACAAGCCAGAATGAGAAACAGCAGCATCCTCTCTTTGCATAAAGCTCCTAGGCCTCCTCATCACCCCCAGACCTCGCTCTCTCTCTCTCTCTCCTCTATAAATTATATTTTATTCCATTTTTATTTCTATGCGTGGAGTATATGGATCAAGTCTCTGAAAGATCTCCCCTCCTATGCGGGGTCCCCCAAGGTGCAATTATCTCCCCTCTTCTCTTCAACATCTACGTTAGACCCCTTGCTAGTTTGGCTCGGAGTTTCGGCCTAGACTGCTATCAATATGCGGACGATACCCAACTCCTTCTGCGCCTGGAGCCTGGAGCAATGTCAGTTCCAGACAATTTCACCTTATGCCTGGAGGCTCTGTCGAACTGGCTACGTGCTAGCAGACTGAAGGTGAACCCGGCGAAGACTGAGATTCTCTGGCATGGCCACTCGATAGAATCATAGAATCATAGAATCAAAGAGTTGGAAGAGACCTCATGGGCCATCCAGTCCAACCCGCTTCTGCCAAGAAGCAGGAATATTGCATTCAAATCACCCCTGACAGATGGCCATCCAGCCTCTGTTTAAAAGCTTCCAAAGAAGGAGCCTCCACCACACTCCGGGGCAGAGAGTTCCACTGCTGAACGGCTCTCACAGTCATAGAATCATAGAATCAAAGAGTTGGAAGAGACCTCATGGGCCATCCAGTCCAACCCCATTCTGCCAAGAAGCAGGAATGTTGCATTCAAATCACCCCTGACAGATGGCCATCCAGCCTCTGTTTAAAAGCTTTCCACCACACTCCGGGGCAGAGAGTTCCACTGCTGAACGGCTCTCACAGTCAGGAAGTTCTTCCTCATGTTCAGATGGAATCTCCTCTCTTGTAGTTTGAAGCCATTGTTCCATTGCGTCCTAGTCTCCAAGGAAGCAGAAAACAAGCTTGCTCCCTCCTCCTCCCTGTGGCTTCCTCTCACATATTTATACATGGCTATCATATCTCCTCTCAGCCTTCTCTTCTTCAGGCTAAACATGCCCAGTTCCCTGAGCCGCTCCTCATAGGGCTTGTTCTCCAGACCCTTGATCATTTTAGTCGCCCTCCTCTGGACACATTCCAGCTTGTCAATATCTCTCTTGAATTGTGGTGCCCAGAATTGGACACAATATTCCAGGTGTGGTCTAACCAAAGAATAGAGGGGTAGCATTACTTCCCTGGACCTAGACACGATGCTCCTATTGATGCAGGCCAAAATCCCATTGGCTTTTTTTGCCGCCACATCACATTGTTGGCTCATGTTTAACTTGTTGTCCACGAGGACTCCAAGATCTTTTTCACACGTACTGCTCTCGAGCCAGGCCTCATCATCCCCCATTCTGTATCTTTGCATTTCATTTTTTCTGCCATCCAGCCTCTGTTTAAAAGCTTCCAAAGAAGGAGCCTCCACCACACTCCGGGGCAGAGAGTTCCACTGCTGAACGGCTCTCACAGTCAGGAAGTTCTTCCTCATGTTCAGATGGAATCTCCTCTCTTGTAGTTTGAAGCCATTGTTCTGAGTCCTAGTCTCCAAGGAAGCAGAAAACAAGCTTGCTCCCTCCTCCTTCCTGTGGCTTCCTCTCACATATAGGTCTGACCCATCTGCTACCCACCTTTGATGGTGCTGCCCTATCTCCTTCACCTACCATTAAGAGCTTGGGTGTCGTTTTGGATTCGCAGCTGACAATGGAAGCTCAGGTCGCTGCTGCCAGCAAACAGGCCTTTTTCCATCTACGACAAGCGAGGCAATTGGCTCCCTCCCTATCTGACGAGGCTCTGGCAACGGTCATCCATGCCACGGTCACATCTAGGCTGGACTATTGCAACGCCCTGTATGTTGGCCTTCCGATGTCTACGACCTGAAAGCTCCGTATTGTTCAGAATGTGGCAGCCAGGCTACTCACAAGAACGCCCATGAAATGCCACAGAACACCAGTGCTGCAACATTGACATTGGCTTCCAATTGAGTCCCGTGGCCTGTCTAAGATGCTAGTTCTGACCTTTAAAACTCTTGACGGCCAGGGTCCATCGTACCTTAGGGACCGCCTCTCCTTCTCCCATCATCAGAGGTCGCAACGACCAGCCCAACTTGACTTACTCTATATACCGGAATATTATCGACTAGGAATGACCGATTCAGACCTGAGCCTCGATGAAAACAAAGATAGAATCATAGAATCAGCCCAACTTGACTTACTCTATATACCGGGTCCTAGAGAAGGGCACTTGGAAAGGACCAGGCACAGAGCTTTTTCCATTTCTGCCCCGGCCTTGTGGAATTCCTTGCTGTCCTACTTGAGAGCCATGCGTGATTTAGGGCCTTTTACCCTAGCGCTTAAGACCTGGCTTTCTACTAGAGCAGTGGTTCCCAACCTTGCAAATGCTGCGACCCCTTAATACAGTTCCTCGTGTTGTGGTGACCCCCAGCCATAACATTATTGTCATTGCTACTTCACAACTGTCATTTTGCTAATGTTGTCCCGTGATATGAGATTAGGTCTCTGGTTGGAGAGAGCTAAGGAAACATTAATCAGTGCTTTTCAACCTTCCTAATGCCGCAACCCCTTAGTACAGTTCCCCGTGTTGTGGTGACCCCCAACCATAATGTTATTTTCGTTGCTTCTTCATAACAGTAATTTTGCTACTGATATGAATTGTAATGTAAATATCTGATATGCAGGATGTATTTTCAGTCACTGGACCACATTTGGCAGAAATACCCGATACGCCCAAAATTTGAATACTGATGGGTTTGGGGGT